CGCAAGTTGCGCCAGGGGAGGTTTAGATTGGATGTTAGGAAAAATTTCTTCACCGAAAGGGTTATCAAGCCCCGGAACAGGCTGCCCAGGGAAGTGGTTGAGTCACCACCCCTGGAGGTAATTAAAAGACGTGTAGCTGTGGTGCTTAGGGACATGGTTTAGTGGTGGACTTGGCAGTGCTAGGTTAACGGTTGGACTTGGTGATCTTGAGGGTCTTTTCCAACCTAAACGGATTCTATGATTCTACGACCAGAAGGTGGCAGCAGGTCCCTCCATTTCCTTTAGGAGATGGGTGGTGGTTTTGCTGTCCTACAAAGGCAAACTTCATTGATGTCTGTGCTACAGGCACTTAGAAGCAGGGCACGGGAATAAAGAAAATCCTAATCTTAAAAGTGCAATTCCTATTTCATCCTTCATACGCTCTTGGTTTTATCTAAATAAGAATAGGTTGATCGTTCTCTCCGTTTCTCCATCTCTCCTTCTCAGAGACATCGTATAACTTTGTCATTGTCCCCAGCATGCTAGTAAATTTGCTAAGAAAGCAAAAGGTCCTTTCCTTTATGGTACATGCTATCCAGGTGTGTTTTCTTCCTTGACTTTGGATGCATGAATGGGATATGATCATTATGCCTCTGTCTGTAAGCCCTTGCAATTACCATGTCATCATAAGCCCCAGGTTCTGCCTTCCGCTGGCAACTTTTTCAGCACGGGCTGTCCTTCTGTTCTCAGTAACAAGATATGCATTATTTATCTTTCTGCAAGTAGAATAAAACTAACCACTTCCTCTATGATCTGGCACCACTTCTTTGAACTTGCGTGTGCCAGGAACTGTGTAGGTGAAATGGTCATTTCTATCATTTGTGTTTTGGCTGCATTTTGCTCCATCAGATTCATTCTGCTCTGTTCCATTCTAATACTCAACAACATCCTGAAGATCCCTTCCAATGTGAGAAGGTAGAAAGCCTTTTCCATTTGTGCATCCCATTTTACTGTGGTTATTATTTCAATCTGCACTTTCAATCTGCCTCCGTCATCAGCTTGCAGCTCAAATCCTGAATGAGGATGTTCTGATTTCCGTCACCTACACTGTGTTAACTCCCCTGCTGAAACCATTGGTGTAGCCTGTGGAACAAAGATGTGGAAGTAGCTCTCAAAAAAAGCTTTCTTGTGAAAAACAGATCTTTGGGGTTCATGAAATTCATCAGAGAGTGAAGTTGAAAAACCTGTACAGATGGAAAACCTGTATTTGAGCTAGCTGAGAGGTGTGATAAAGTCTTTTTCCTGACCAAAAGATTTGAGACAAACGAAGAAGTTGCATAGGGATGGCAGAGGAACAGTGTAGTAGAAATGGGCAGCACAGACCCATGATGGTCTTCACAATGTGGGTTAGAAGTAGCAGCAGGTAGCTTTTCGTCTGCAGAATATCTGGGGAGGGAGGCGAGGCATCAGCTCCTGCTTCCACACAGCCTGAGACACAGCAAATGGGACCGGCAGACCTGTTCAGGCATGTTTAGAGGCTAAATCATGTCTCACAAACAGGCATCCTGCATGACTGATGCACAGGGCAGCCAGGTAGGCGTATTACTGCTGTGTCCCCTAGGTTGAAGTGCAAGGCATAGCCTCCTAGAAATGGTTAAGTTGTGCGATTAAAGACTCATCCCGACAAACACAAAGGAACAGAATTAAGCAGAGTGAACAAGGGCAGGCGGGGAAATCCCAGTAACATGAGCAGAGCCACGGGAGCACCCTGACCCGGCTCCCCCAGGGCTGCTGATGGACAGTGACCAGACCCGTTGTCGGGGAATGAGACCCACCAGGTGAGTCAATGGGAAAGGCTCAATTACAGACTGCCTATGGGACTCATCATGGGAAGAGCATTTTGAGATTGTATGAGACGTTTTATGGGATATTTAGGGGAAGAGCCAAAGGTGGAAAGGGAGGGAGGGATCAAGGTGTTTTAAGGAGGAACAATGGTGGGAAAAG